ACAATCTATAATTTTATTCATTTTCGTGGGCTTAGACTTAAGAAAAATTAAATATGCACACTCTGAAGCTACTATTTTCATGCATCGTAGTACACGATTTTTTTCCATTTTCAATTGTTTCAATCAAATAATAATTAGGTATGTGTAATTTAATATTCATGATGATTGTTCATTTTCGTTTATTTTTTTGGTTGATGAAAATGGCTTTTTCCATTAACTAATTGCGCATATATACATCATCTCAACTCATGCATACTTGAGAGGCAATACAAAATTTTCCAGGTGGGTCTATAAATTTTGCATAAAAACAAGCATTTTACCCCATACAAATTAAACTATATTTAAAATAAGGTAATTGTTGTGCGCAGCGGAAATTTCGGCAGCACTTCGGCAGCACAACAAGAGAGTCAGATCGCAATAAGAATTCTCGTCTCACCAAGGAGACAAGAATCTGAAGCGGATATCTCAACCAAGTGAGATATCGGCTCTTCCTCTCATCAGTTCTAGGACTGACCTGTCGAGGGATCCTACAAGCTATTACAAATCACGGCAAGAACACAACTTTTTACGTGGTTCGGCAAATAGCCTACGTCCACGGGGCAAGGAGGGGGAGATCTACTATTAGAGGGAGAGATACAACTAGGGTTTACAATCTCACAATCTAAACCCACTCAAACAAACTCTCAAATCCCTCTTACAAATATTCTCTCAAAGGGATGCACAAATAAAAGAACAACTCCCAACAAAAGCTTTGCTTTTCCTCGTGTTCTTCACCTGCAGCCGAAAAATCAATCCCCAGCTCTCTGTGCAATTGATCTCCTGTAGCCGCAAAAACCATACCCAGCCTCCGCACAAAAAAAAGCCGCTGCTCTTTTTATTCCACCGAAAACCCTAGGAACAAAAAGCCTATATATAGCCAGGTCCCCCACGCGGTTTTCCTATGTCCCAATTTCTTTTTTTTTTTTTTCGTTGTGGCCCCCACTTGACGCGTGAACAAAAGACGTGTTCACAATTCTCCACCTCGGTGAAGTTTCTTCTAAAAAACTGAGCCGACACCAAAGCAACCAAATGTCCCACTTATTCGACAACAAGTCGGGAACCCGAACGAGAGTCCAAACAATCTCACCCCCCATCAAACAAGTCGAGAACCCGAACGAGAGTCCAAACGATCTTACCCCCATCAATTAATCCAAACCGGCTGCATCGTAAAGACTGCCTACGTATCCTCTTGCCCAAGGAATCAAGCCTCACGTAGTTCATCCAAATGGCCTCCAAAGGCCTCAACACCGAAGAATGTTCAGAAGCTCCAAACAATGACCAAACTTAACGCCTGAAACAACTTTGGTCAACATATCCGCAGGGTTGTCCTTCGTGTGGATCTTCTTCAATATGACGTCTCCTTCATATAAAACGTCACGAACAAAATGGAATCTGACATCGATATGCTTCGTGCGTGCATGATAAACCTGGTTCTT